CAGTTTTGCTCAGTGGGTAGAGTATTGGTCTGTGGACAGAAGGGTCCTGGGTTCAATTCCAAGAAAGGGCAGATGCCTAGATTGTGGGCTCTATCCCTAGTACGGAGTGTGCAGTAGGCAGCCCATTATGATTCTGTCTCATCATTGATGTTTTGATCTCTTTCTCTCTGAATTCAGTAAAAATATTTTATAAAAATCTTTTATAACTTCCTGATCTATCAATAGACAGCATATTGTTTTGCATGTTTTATTCTTTATATAAATAATTAGGGACCAGGTGCATGAAATTCATGCACTGGTGAGGGACCCCTTAGCCCAGCCTGCCCCCTCTTGCATACTGGGAGCCCTCAGGGGATGTCCTACTGACTGCTTAGGCCCGCTCCCCATTGAGAGCGGACCTAAGCCACAGTCTGGCCTCCCTTTGTGGGAAGCCACCAGGCTGATCAGGGGAAGGTGTCAGCCCTATCACTCCACTGGTGCAGCCACTGCCAGTTACCACAGCCGCCAAGGTATTTTCATCAACACTGACTCTAGTCCCTTCACCATGTAAAAAATGACAACTTTCTTTAGGCATTTTCAAGATGTATCTTTCATAGGATATGACATTTCTTCCTTTATTTTTCTTTTTATCCTCACCTGAGAATATATTTCCATTGATTTTTTTTTTTTCCTCCTTCCCTCCGATGGCAGACTCAGCCCTTTCCCAAGCCTAAAGCCTCTGCCCCAGGGTTTAGGCTTGGGAAGGCCCCTGCTTCGATAGCCGGCTGGGAGTGACCTGGGTGCTGAGGAGGTCCCGGGACCTAGGTATGTATGCAAATTCACTGCCATCTTTGTTGGGTTAATTTTCATACTCACTCTGATTGGCTGTGAGTGTAGCGGAGGTATGGTCAATTTACATGTTTCTCTATTTTAGGTAAGATGTTCATCTATACAGTATAATTCTTAGACCCAGGCAAGTCGGATCTTGGACCCTGAGTTTTAGAGGGGTCTCCTTCTGGCCCTTCTCTGTCTGTGCCCCCCATGGGGCAAGGAATCCAAGGGAACATGCACACATGGAGTCTGTGAGCCTCTTGTAGACCACGGTCAAGTTACTCGGGACCCTGAAACTCCAGGCCCAAACAGCCTCCCGTGCTATGCTGTGCCTAAGCAGGGCTTTCTCCCGGGCGCACCCTCCTGAGGGTGAGCCATCTACCTAAGTGTGCACCCCGGGCCAAGGGGTGACTGTTTGGGGAGAGGGGGGGTGGGGAGTACATGGAGCTGAACCCTCACTGGAGTGCCCACACACAAAAGGAGGCATGAGGGGGGCAAGGCAGATGGGGATAGACATCCATTTGTATTTCTGCCTTGGACTCTCCTCCCTCCTCCCCCATATGCACATTAAATTCTATGCATTTTGACAACTTGCTTTTCCCCTCAACATTACATTTTTTAGCATTATCTATGGCAATATCTATAGCTCCAGTTTATTAATTTTCTCTCCCTTACAGCATGCCCTCAAAGTTTTAAAAGTTTCTGATCCCTGATGCCTCCTCACACAGAAGATTCTGATGTGGGAGGAGGGGCCAGATGGGCTGAAGCGAATGCATCTTTAGGAAACTGCAGGATGCAGCTCGGCAGCTCGGGTTAAGGACCACGGGGAGACAACCCCTCTCGGAGTGCCCCTGGCTTTGCACAGGCCAAACCTGTCCCTTTCTGCTGTTCCTCCTTGTGCGCCCAAGGTCTGGACCGGCTCTGCACAGGCCACCAGCCCAACAGCCTGGTTCAAGTCTGGGAGAGCTGGCGAAGGCAGCGGGCGCCCCCTGCTGGATGCAAGCGCAAGCTGAGCAGATTGGTCCCTCCTCCGTGGATCTCTGGCCACAGGCACCCAACCTTTCCCCCAGCTTTTACTAGTAGCAGCACTTGGACGCAAATTGCCATCTCTTCTGCTCTCCAAAAGTGTTCTCACATAACAGACTCTCTGTGGGGATCTTTATTTGGGATAAAAGAGTGTGTGGGTGAGAAACTGCCAGGCTCATCTCCTGGTTTATTCTCTGATCATTGTGTGACCTCAGGCAAATCATTGGACCTCTGAATAACTCGGTTCCTCATGAATAAAATGGGACAGTAATGTTGCCTAGCTCATAGGCCTGCTTTGAAGATTCGAGTTTAAAGGGGCACCTGCAGGACTAGTTGCTATGCGATGCCAGTTCCGGATTTCTCAGTGATCCAGAGCTTACTGGTCCGGGAACCGCTGTGTGTCTTTCTGTTGACTGACTATATCATTTAATCATCAGAACTCACGATGTGGGTGTGCTCATGTTCACCCCCGTTTTACAAAGGAGGAAACCGAGGCACAGTGAGATCAATCAAAGGCTCACAGCTCACAGCTTGTAATAACCATGATTTGAACCCAGGCAATTACACTCCAGAGCCCATGCTTTTTGGTGTTTTTTTTTTTTTAATCAATTTTAGAGAGGAAGGAGGAATGAGAGAAAGACAGACAGACATCGATCCATTGCCTCCTATATACACCAGAAATCAACTGGGATTGAAACTGAAACAGCCCAGCTGGTGTGGCTCAGTGGTTGAATGTTAACCCATGAACCATGAGGTCACCGGTTCGACTCTAGGTCAAGGCACATGCCTCGGTTTTGGGCTTGATCCCCAGTAGGGGGCATGCAGGAGGCAGCCAATCAATGATTCTCTCTCATCACTGATGTTTCTCTCTCTCCCTCTCCCTTCCTCTCTGAAATCAGTAAAAACCTATTTTTTAAAAAGCCTAGGTATGTGTCCTGACCAGGAATCAAACCTGAGAACCTTCAGTGCACAGGGCCATGTTCCAACAGAGCCACACTGGCCACAACCTGTGCTTTTATTTAGTTAGTAAACCCTCGCTCAAGGATATTTTTCCATTGATTTTATTTATTTATTTATTTATTTTTAGGGAGAGTAGGAGAGGGAAAGACAGAGAGAAACATCAATGTGAGAGAAACATACTAATTGACTGCCTCCTGCACCAGCCCCCACCAGGGCCCAGACCAGGGAGGAGCCAGCAACCAAGGTATGTGAACCAGGGACTTTTTGGTCCGCAGGCAGTCGCTCTATCTACTGAGCCAAACCAGCTGGAGCACAGCCCATGCTTTCAATCACTGCATTCTCATGGCAATTTGGGGGCATGTACTATGCCTATTATATAGCTGGGAACACTGAGGCTCAGATCACACAACTAATTAGTATTGGAGCCGTGGCCTGGACTTGACCCGTTCTGTCTCCTTGCATTATCTGATCTAATCCCATGGCAACCCAGCAGGCATGGTGACCCTGTGTGACAAGTTAGGGCATTGATCTGAGATGACTGAATGACTTGCTCAAGGTCAAAGAGCCAGTTAGTAGGAAGCTTTTCCTATTGGGAGCAGAGCCCAAGGACATTCTGTTCAGGGCCCAGCACCTCTGCAGCACCCTGCTCCAGCCCCTGGCCATCTCTTATCCTTATGGTCACAGCTCCTGTTCCTAGGAAGGTGAGTTTAGCACCACTTGCTTCCAGGCAGTCTTAGCACAGCTGTCAAAGTTGCGCTATCAAGCTGTCACTCACCTGAAACCCGGCCTCAGCATTGGCTCATGGAGCTTTCTATATGACATGGACGTCAGATTCCATTCCCCTGCCCTCAGTGGGAGGCAGCTGGCACCATGGAAGGAGCAGGCTGTTGGAGCCAGATAATCCAAGGTTGAAATCCAGCTGGACAAACATCCTCACCTCCCTGAACCCCCATTTCATGACTTTTAATATGGGGATAATGATCTGTGCTTTGCAGACTCCTCTGAGAATAAAATGCAATACAGTGTACACAGTATCTGGTACACAGTGGGTGCTAAGTAAACGTTAGCTCCCTTTGCTAGTTCTGTGCTACAGACTCTCATCTGCTGTCCATGCCCCTTCCTCACAGGCCCAGAGTCCCTCTTTACAGAATCGTCTGGCATAATCTTATTTTCCTAGCTAAATCCCTGCTACTGGGTCTCCGTTTCCTCGTCTATAGAGTGGGGTTCACTCATTCATTCATGAGTAAGTATCTAGTAGCTTTCTTGTGACTGTAAACTGTGCTAAGTGTTGGGACTATAGAAAACAAGACAGGTTAAAAAAGCATGAACATCCAGGCGCTGCGCCCCTCATGCCTCTGGAATGCTCAGAGGAGATGTTTACATAAATGTCACCTGCTGTGTCTCAGGAATTGCCATCACGAGCAAACACTATTAGGACTATAGACTGTTTTCTGAATCCAGCTGTTCTTGTCGAAGGCCTTTCACCATCACCTCCTATCCCCTCCAATACTGAAAAAGAAAGATTTAGGGAAAATTAAAGGAAGCTTTAATTTACACCAGGGGGAGTCAACTTACGTAGCTCATTATCCCCAGTGGTGGTACAGTTTTTGTGTGTGAGATATATATATATATATATATAATTTATTTTTATTTTTTTTTTTTACTTTTTAGAGAGAGGAAGGGAGAGTTAGAAACACTGATGAGAGAGAAACATCGATCAGCTGCCTCCTGCACACTCCCCACTGGGAATGTGCCCAAAACCAAGGTAAATGCCCTTGATCAGAATCGAACCTGGGACCCTTCAGTCTGCAGGCCGACACTCTATCTATTGAGCCAAACCGGTCAGGGCGTGCGGTGGTATAGTTTTAAGCACAGGGTTAGCTAAACCCATAGATAGCAGGAGCATGGTGAGAGAAGGTAGGTAGAGATGAGTCCCAGAGCACCCACATGCTAACTGCCTACTCTCAGCTCTGCTGCCCTCCCGTGGCATCTAGCACAAAGGCAGAGCACTGGGCTGGGGGTCAGGACACCAGGGTTTGAACCCCAGATCTGCTGACCAGCAAATGCATGACCTCAGACAAGCCATTTCATTTCTCTTGAGCTTCTGTTACTTTGTCTGTGACATGGGAATCTTGAGACTAGGAGGATCTCTACTTGTTGTATTGATTAGTTTAGAAATGCATGTAAAGCACCTACTGCAGTGCCTGGTACTTGGTAAGAGCACAATGAACCCTGGCTTGTATGATTACCATCTGCTGCAGGGGATCTGGCTGGAATTGCAGCCCTCTGCATGACACTAGGAAACTTGCGGGGGAATTTTGAGCCACTCAGCTTTCCCTCTGGGCTTGTTTCCCCACCTGCAAAAAGGAGAAATAGAACCATCCTGCCTGATTCAGAAAAGTAACATAAAACCCAGGTACTATTATCACTACATGAGCAATGATACCTTGTTCTAAGCATGGAGTTTGGAGCCAGATTGCTGGCTTTCAATCCCAGCTCCACCCCTTACTTGTAGATAAAATGCTTAGAAAATGAACAGATACAGAGTTTGTTTGTTTTTTAAATGTTCGTTGATTTCAGAGAGGAAGGGAGGACAGATAGAAACATCAATAATGTGCCAAAACCGGTTTGGCTCAATGGATAGAGCGTCGGCTTAGGGACTGAAGGGTCCCGGGTTGGATTCCGGTCAAGGGCATGTACCTTGGTTGCGGGCACATCCCCAATAGGGGGTATGCAAGAGGCAGCTGATTGATGTTTCTTTTTCATTGATGTTTCGAACTCTCTATCCCTCTCTCTTCCTCTCTGTAAAAAATCAATAAAATATATATTTTTTTAAAAACTGAGGCCAGAACTACAAATTGCATGTTCTGATATGGAAGAACCCTGGATCAGCAGCCACAAAACCAGGGTTGGCTTGCTTGTCTTTGTGATGGAAGAATTCTGGTATGTTGTTTCCAAGGAGCCATGACCTTGGACCATGATTTCCCCTCTGGACCCTGGGCTCTTCTTCTGTCCCATGATGAGACTTTTACCTTCTGTATGATAACATTCTGCAATCTTGTGATTTGCTGGCAAAGGCCAAGCTCAGGGTTGAGCCTTAGACGAGGGCTAGGAATGGGTACTGTGGGACTACTACTGAGTACCATGACATCCTTGAGGCAGGATGCATCCTAGCAGCATGGGGTGAGGGCTGGAGGGGCTCTCCAATGAGGAATCAGGTTGATGTTGGAAACTACCGGTTGAGTGCAAAATCAACCTATCATTATGCCACTGTTGACCCAACTCTCCAGGGCTGCTCTGGGGGGCCTGGTCCTGCCAGATGGGGGCAGAGGGAAAAGAGGGAGCCAAGTCCACCCAGATGGGGGCAGAGGGAAAAGAGGGAGCCAAGTCCACCCAGAGGCCTCGTGCTCTATTCCTCCTGCCAAAACCTGCTCCTATGAAAGGACCAGGGAACCCCCTCATGCTCAGGTGCATACAAATTACAACAGCTCAAAACACCTTTTATCTTTTGTAATAGATTTTCTTTAAAGGAATTTTAAGATTCCTCCACCCAAAAAAAAAAAAATTATTTTTCAAATGAAGAAAATAAGTTGTGTAACAAAGAGACTAAGGGATAAACCAGAGCACCAGGCTCCTTTGCAAAATGCTAAAAAGTCTTAAACAGAGGGTAGTGCCAAAGATGGCATTTCAGGCATCAGAAGGAGGTGCCCACCTTTCTGAAGGGCTGCAAACCGTTAAATACATCTAGACCATCTACACCGAGCAGAGAAGGACTGTGGAGGATGTCCTGGCCTCCAACTTTATCAGGGCAACATAGACAGCAGGCACGCCCATTAGCCATGGATGCCTGAAACCTTGGACATAGATCATGTAAATTAGCTATACATACATACATACATACAATAAAGGTAATTTAGTTTATAAATTACACAGTAAGATATTGACAATAAATAATAAGGTGGAAACAATTATGACAACATATTGTAATAAATGTTATGGAACATGGCATGGCCTCCCTCTCTGATAATTGATCTGATAAATGAGAGGGCCACTGTGACTAAAGGTAAGTATGATATATACAGGGTGGATGCTCAGGACAGGAATGACCCCCATCCCAGGAAGGAACCAGATGGCACACGATTCTATCACACCACTCAGAATACCGTGCAATTTAAAGCTTGTGAGCTGTTTATTTCTGGAATTTTCCATTTTAATATTTTCAGACCAACAGTTGACCCTGGGTAACTGAAACCTTGGAAAACAAGGCACTGGGGATAGAGGGGGACTACTGCATTATACAAAGCTCACTAAGGGCCAAGTATGGAAATCCTAGTCTCCATTTCCCCAAATGGTTGGGACTTGCCTCCCAAATCCTTTTACTTAAAAGTGACCTTGACCAGCCACATCCCATCCCAGGACCTCAATGTTCCCTCCCCCTCCTCTCCTCTCCTCCCCCCGCATCTGTACAACAGGAATTACAAGTTCCCCATCTGCCAAAACACATCAAACTTAATTAAGTAAGGATAAAAGCCAAAAAAAATGACTGATAACACTTCTCCACATCCAAGTCAAAACCTCCCGGTCGCTGCATGCTTTTCTGAGCTGTTCCGGGAGAGGCGTGGCCAGGCCCCGGGAGCCACGCCCCCAGGCGGCAGGGCGGCCTTCGCCGCGCCCAGTTCTGCGGCCCAAGGTGGGAACCCGGCGGAGTGACGCACCACTCCCTGTGTAACCTTCCACCGAGAGGGAAAGTAGTCCCCCAACCCGTAGCGGGCTCCGTCACCCATACTAGGCGACCTATAAATCCTAGCCCCTCTCCAGACTCAACTATGACTCTGTGGCCTCAGGGACACCTTCCGGCACACCGGAAACCGGTCTTTCTGCAGGTTGCCGGAGGAAGTAGTTCCGGCCCACGCTAGGCCGATGGGTCCCTCCGCAGCAGGCAAAATAAGATGGCGACCTCGTCTATGCCGGAGTCGGAGAGAAACGCGGCCACTGGAGCGTCAGGTAAGCGTCGGACAGAGTCAGGTCGCCCCACTGCACCCTGCCCTGAAGTGGACCCACAACTGCGGGAACACCCGACAGCAAGGTCCCGGCCGGCGGGGCTGTCCGAATAGGGCCCTGGGGTCCCAGGCCCTTTGGTCGCTCTCGCAGTTGCCTGAGCGGAAACCCGGCGCCGCCACAAGATGGCGTCGGGCCTGGAGCGCAGGCAGCGCCGGGGACAGCCCCTAGTCGCCAGGCCCCGGGACCGTAGCTGTCAGCCCCCTCCGCGAGGAAGTAGGGAAAGGGGGAGCGAGCCACTGACCAAGGGGGCCCGTGGGCTGTACCACCGGCCCTGCGCCCGGGGGAACTCGGAATGCCGGAGGGCGGGACCACGGAGCCCCGGCGGGACCCTTAGAGCAAGTCCACCGAGGAAATCGTGGAGGGGAGGAGAGAAGGGTCATACCGCCATTGACCACCTCCCCGGGACGGGGAAGGGCCCTGGACTGGGAAGCAAGGCTTCTCGGCCCCGTTTTCCCGAAGGTTCTACCTACGAGAAAGGCCCGCCCGGTCGTGGGGGGGGAAAGGGGGGGAGACTCAGTCTGTTCGTCAGCGAAATGGGCGCACGGGTGCCGCCGGGTGGTGGGCCGTGGTTGCCGGCGCCGGTGAGGCGGCCCACCTGTCGCCTCTCCTCTCAGAGTGAAGGCCCCAGACCCTGCGCACCCTTGCGGGGCGGCCCGCCGAGCCCATGGAGGAAAACGAGGTGGAGAGCAGTAGTGACGCGGCCCCGGGGCCCGGCCAGCCCGAGGAGCCCTCCGAGAGCGGCCTGGGCGTGGGCACCTCGGAAGCCGTGTCCGCCGACAGCAGCGACGCAGCGGCAGCCCCCGGGCCCGCGGAGGCCGACGACTCCGAAGTGGGGCAAAGCTCGGACCGCGGCGGCAACTCTCTGGTATGGGCCGTGCTGGCCGGCAGGGGTGGAAGCAGGGACCCCGGGCAGCTGCCAGCGCCTGGCAACCAGGGGGAAGCGGCCAGCAAGGCTGGCTTGTAACTAAGACTTGGTTTTGGTTTACTGTGAGTCCCCAACATGGATTTTTCTCATTTGCGCCTCAAACCTTGTCAAGCACATACCACTCTTTCCCACATCTCACAGAAGAGAAACCTGAGGCACAGAGTGCTGGCAGAGTCAGGATTCAAATATAGGCGGTGGTCTTACCCATTGCCCTACCCACTGTCCTCACTCTTCGGGAGGTGGGTATCCTGGTTCCGGTCTTGCCTCTTCCTCCTATTTACAGAGTAGCTCTTGGAGCCGCAGTCTTTCTGTCTGTAAAACGGAGCAGGAATACTTGCTTCTGAGCATGCTCTGTTTTGAGCTCCCACCAGAGGTTCTCTTTGCTTTACAAAGTACTTTGTAAAACCATTTCTTCCTGACCCCCTCCCCAGTGTGATCTTCAGCAAGCTTCCCAATTTCTTGATCTCAGTTTTCTCGCCTGTAAAGTGGGAATGATGAATATACCTACCTCAATAGGGTTTTTGTAAGAACTAAAGGAAGTCATTTTGCAAAGCAATTAAAACAGTGCTTAGCACATAATAAACACTCAAGTATTAGCCATTGCTGTTGTTATCTGCAAGACAGAGATCAATTTCAAAACATCACATTATAGTGGTGCACCCAGTGGCCCCCACTTTGGGGTCCAGAGTTCCGTTAATTCAGCAGAGATGGGCCTACATGTGCCCAGCTTGGGTTGGATTCTGGTGATACAGCAGGAACAAGACAGATGTGCTCCCAGCCCTTGTAGAGGGTAGGATCAGACCTGATCTGGGAGATGTTACACTACACAGGAGATAGTGAGGTGATGTCGGGACACAGGCAGCCGTAGCACTGCAGATGGAGAGGTCCTAACTTGGCCTTCACGGTCAGGGTCAGCTTCCAAGCAGAGGTACCAGCTCAATGGCAGGGAGAAAGCTGGGTAGGCTGTAGCCATGGTGTAATGCTGGGAAGCCTTTTAGGCAATGGGAATAGCTTATTCAAAAGTGCAATGAAAACAGCTATGCCTGGCTGTGGTGTGGGGTATGTGGGGCCCTTTGACCAGAGCCAGGTACCCTGGGACTTGTTCTTGGGGAGCTCTGCAACTAGAGGGCTTCTCTCACTGGTACTCAATGGGGTTGAAAGTGTGAGTAACTGCTCACCATGTGCTTGGGCCTAGGAGCTCTGCCTAGCAGGTGGTAGCCTGCTCTGCCCCATCCCTGGCTCCTAAACGCCCTCTTTTCCTGTTTCCTATCCCCCAGGAGGAGGTGTCTGAGAGCAGCTCAAGCACGGACCCCCTGCCCCATGGCTACCTCCCCGATTCATCTTCTGTGTCCCATGGGCCAGTGGCAGGGGGGACCGGTGGCCCCCAAGCTCTCGTGCACTCCAGTGCCCTCCCCGACCCCAACATGCTGGTGTCCGACTGCACGGCTTCTTCCTCGGATCTGGGCTCAGCCTTTGACAAGATCATCGAGTCCACCATCGGGCCGGATCTCATCCAGAGTAAGTCAGGAAGAGGGTGGCAAGAGTCAGCCCCCTGGGGCCTCCCTGCAGAGTCCAGAAGAACCATCTCTGCTGATCCCAGCTGTGCAAACTAGGGGAAATAACTCTCCCACTCTGAACGTGTAACATGGCAACAGGAACTCCTGCCTCATAGTGGTAAAACGGTGTGAGGACTTAATGAGGCAGCACAGAAAAGCTCTTAGCACAGTGTCTGGCATGTAATAAGTGATCCTTAAATACAGAAACAGTAACGCCTGACTTTATACTGAGGTCTGTCTAAACATTTTATATCCACTGGCTCCTTCATCCCCCAGGGACCCCAAAGCATAGGTGCTACTGTGATCCTTGCAGTATAGATGAGAAATCTGAGGAACAGAGGATGTAAAATAATTTACCCACTGTCACTAGCAACTGTTGAGCCATGAGCTCATACTGTCTGATTCCAAAGCTCATGATTTCCCAAACTCTACCTCCTATTAATGATGCATGTAAAGGACAAGCCCTGGGATGGTCTGGAAAGCCAACCCTAAGGAACTGGTGCTGGAACTGGCCCTTAACCTTGGGGAAATTTTGAGAGGAAGGAGGGGGACTCCAGGTTTAGCTGGGATAGCCTTGTCATCTATATGACTGTGGGTCATCATGGCACACAAACCAGGTTTCCCAATAGCCCTGCCCTGGCTGGATGGGCAGGGGTTAGGCATCTGAGGCTCAGAGGGATGATGCAGCTGGTTTGAAGTCACACAGGTGAACCAGAATGAATGTGGGCAATGGCAATTGTCAGTGTCAGCTGGGAATTCCCTCCCCACATCTCTGTCTAGGCTGCATAACTGTAACCAGTGCTGAGGACGGTGGGGCCGAGACCACACAGTACCTGATCCTGCAGGGACCAGATGATGGTAAGACGCCAGGCTCCAGACAAAGGAAGCCCTGCAGAGGGCTGGACTAGGAGAGGGAGGCTTAGCCACAAACTCACTGTGTGATCTTGACAGTTTAGCCACTGCTCTTGGCCTCAGTTTCCCCACTATTACTCTTATAAGGAGTTGGGTTCTAGGATCCCCGGGCCTGCCTGAGAAGGACAGCTGTAGCTCATGGCCAGCCTGCCCTCCACTTCCCTTCCCTCTGCTTCCCTCACCAATCTCCAGGTGCCTCCATAGCGTCGCCAATGTCCAGTTCCACTCTAGTCCACAGCCTGGCAGCCATTGAGGCCCTGGCCGACGGCCCCACGTCCACATCCACATGCCTGGAGCCATCTGAGGAGGCACGGGGTTCGCCCAGCTCCCCAGCACAGCCTCCCCCAGCTTCTGGCACTGAGGAGCCAGATCTACAGAGCCTGGAGGCCATGATGGAGGTGGTGGTAGTACAGCAGTTCAAGTGCAAGATGTGCCAGTACCGGAGTAGCACTAAGACCACACTATTACGCCATATGCGGGAGCGACACTTCCGTCGAGGTACATTGATAGCAGCTTACCTGCCGGGACTGCATAGGTGGGATGGGGTGCTGAGAGGCAGACATGGAAGCTTGTCTTACCTCTCCCACCTTCCCCCAAGTAGCAGCAGCACCAGCACCAGCACCAGCTGCTAAGAAGGGACGTCCACGGAAGTGGGGTACCTCGACCAAGACAAAAGAGGAAGAGGCACCAGAGGAGGAAGAGGATGATGACATTGTAGATGCCGGTGCCATTGATGACCTAGAGGGTAAGCTACATGGCTTCCACCCCCATCAACAAATATTGGGCTCCTGGCCCTCATGGAGAGCCAGGAAAACAGAATTGACACAGATGCAGTCACAGGTGCTTCCGTAGGAGTTGGGTGCTGGGATCAGAACCTCTGTGTGTAGTTGTGTGGGCTGTGCACCGTAAAAGCGCCAACCACAACTAAGGGCCATGTTCACATTTATCCAACAGAAATAGAATGCAAACCACATAGGTACTTTGCTTTTTTGTAGACAGATATTTTGATTAATCCTCCCCTGAGGATATTTCTTCCATTGATTTTTAGAGAGAGTGGGGGAGGGAAGGGGAGAAGAAACATCAATGTGAGAGAGATGGGTTGGGGAACAAACATGAACACACAACCCAGGAATCAAAACAGGCTGATGCTCTAACTGCTTAGCTATACCAGCCAGGGCCTTATTTTTTTTTTATTTTAAGATAAAAAAAGGTGAAATTAAGTTTATTGTATATTTTATTTACCCAACATATCTAAAATATTATTTCAACATGCAATCATTATAAAATATTATTCGTCGTTTTACTCTTTTTTTCACACTGATTTTTAGAATCCAGTGTGTATTTTACACTTAATTATGTCTCAGTTTAGACTAGGCACGTTTTAGGAACTCAATAGCCACATTCAGCCAATAGCTTCTGCATTTTCATAGACTGTATCTTGCACAATCATAGCGTTTATAGACTTGAATGTTTATTTCAACTATTTCCTAACAGTGTCTGTAAAATGTCCTTAGGAAGCAGTGTCTTTTTCTAAATCATGGCCAAGTGCTGTAGAAGCCAGTGGTAGGTGTCAGGAAAGGTGCAGAGGAAGGACTGCAGGAGCCTGGAAAGGGATGTGCAGTCAGCCATGGGACATCAGGAGGGCGTCGGGAGGAGGCGTCACTGGTGGGCATGAAAGAGGAGTGGGCAGGGATGGGGAAGTGGGCCTCTTCCCGGGGGAGCAGGGCAAGGGATCAGAGCTGAAAGGGTGGGTCCAGCATGATGCCCACCTTCTCGCACTGTTGCCGCAGAGGACAGTGACTACAACCCAGCGGAGGATGAGCCCCGCGGCCGGCAACTGCGACCCCAGCGCCCCACACCCAGCACACTGAGATCCCGGAGGAGGCCTGGCCGGCCCCGGAAGCTGCCTTGCCTGGAACCCTCAGACCTCCCAGAGGGTGAGACTTGGTCGTGGAAGGGAACTTGAGGGTGAGGCTGAGGGGTGACCTTCCCTGCTTGCCTCTGTGGAGTCCTGGAGATAGTGAGAGTAGCCTGGCTCAAACCAGGAGAGCCAGGAAAACAGAATTGACACAGATGCAGTCACAGGTGCTTCCGTAGGAGTTGGGGTGCTGGGATCAGAACCTCTGTGTGTAGTTGTGTGGGCTGTGATGGAGGGGAACTCCCTCTAAGACCAGGCTTGAAAAACCCTGAGTTAAGAAAAGTACATCAGCTTTATGAAAAGACTGTTCGGTGGTAAGTGGTCACAGCAGGAAGAGGTTGAGTCTTTATAGCTGAACTAATAAGGTAATATTTAAGTATTATTATTGAAATAACAACAAAGTTGAGGCCTAAGACTGTCCAAGGAGCACAAGCTTAGAGCATTACAGGCTGGGACGCCTCATGGGCATTCATGCCAGCTCTGCATGGTACTAGCTGTGTGACCTGTAACATGTTACTTCACCTCTCGAATCCCCTTTTTGTAAATCCAAGTGATAGCACCTGTCTTTTAGGGTTGCTTTAAGTCATAAATAGGCACCAAAAGGCACATGGTAGCTGTCTTTGTACATGCAGTTTGGAGGAAATTGTTTTATTTTTTAGTCTCATTTTAAAATAACTTTTTACTGAGATATATGTTTGGAAAAGCACATCGAAAGTGTACAACTCAGTGAATTTTCAAAGTGAACACACCTATATAACCTAGCACCCCAGTCAAGAAACAGAATGTTACCAGCATTGTCTGTGTCATTTTTAATTTTTAAAACGTTGTATTGAGATATTGTTGATGTGTTTGAATATATGACACTCCTATCTGCCCTCCAGCTACCCTAGAGAAACCAGTGTTAAAGTGCTGCTGTTGCTTCTCAGACTGGAATGTTCTCATGAGATCACTAGATAAGCAATTATTATCTTCATTTGCCAAATAGGGAAAATGAGACACAGAGAGGGACTGGCTTTGCCTAAAGATACACAGCAAGTCAGCTACAGAGCTGAACCTAGTATGCAGGTCTCCTGACTGAGAGGTCCCTAGGTCCTCTGCTGCCCTGACTGTCACATTTAAGTCATGCTTTGCTGCACTCTAACCACCAGCTGGCTGCGTCTGTGCTGTGACCTGATGTGCCCATTAGTGGAGGGTGGCCGAATGTGGGGGGAAGTATTTGGCTGGCCTGTGTCTCATCTGTCCACACCTGTCCTGGTGTGTTGTGACTGATCTGTGATCTGACATGTCTGTGGCAGGTATGGAAGGAGAGCCTCTAGTGAGTTCCCAGAGTGGACAGAGCCCTCCAGAGCCACAGGACCCCGAGGTACCCAGCTCCTCAGGCCCAGGACACCTGGTGGCCCTGAGTAAGGCCGATAGGGTCCCTGTGGAGCCCAGCGTGAGCCAGTCGGACGCAAAGAACTCAGCACCCACCTGCCAGGAAGAGCCCGACGCCCCACCCCGCCGCCGCGGCCGACCCTCCAGGCGCTTCCTAGGCAAGAAATACCGCAAGTAAGGGGCACGAGAAGGGGTCAGGGAGGCAGCCGGACAGCCCCAACCCAGCCAGACCTCTCCTCACCACCCTCCTGGCAGGTATTATTACAAGTCACCCAAACCGCTTCTGAGGCCCTTCCTGTGCCGCATCTGCGGCTCCCGCTTCCTGTCCCACGAGGACCTGCGCTTTCATATAAACTCCCATGAGGCCGGAGACCCCCAGCTCTTCAAGTGCCTTCAGTGCAGCTATCGCTCACGCCGCTGGTCCTCGCTCAAGGTGTGAGCTGCAGCTGGAAAGGAGAGTAGCTGGGAAGGGGAAGGCACAGGGCGTGGGAGGAAGGGAGGCTGGATGAGAAAAGACAAAAGCCTGGTGGCACCGAGAGGGAGTGGAGGTAGAAGGGCCTTCCAGGCACCCTCTCCTGCTGTTTCACGGGGCACGTGTCTGGGCTGCCCTGGGCGGTTTTGCAGATCGCACACTGCACAGCAGCACAGCATCTTCAGGTGTGCTATTGTGTAGGGGACTTTACAGATTTGCTTGTTCACCACCATTGCCAGCAGGTGGCAGTAAAGTTGGTTTTATCTAGTGCAGTATGTTAAAAAGGCTTCCAGCAGATGGCAGTAAAGTGTCTCATGAGAGGGGCCCAGTACTCAGGCCTTGCATCTTGAGGCAGCCCCAGGAGGTCCCTGTTAGGTGTCAACAATCCTATTTTACCGACCAAGGAACCACAGCTTGGCTGGACCAAAGTGAAGCAGCAAGTTGGCTATTATTGGGGTTGGGGGGTTCTCAGGAAAAACAGCCAGAGCCCCTGTGCTTTCTGCACACAGTGCTTCCTCAGACAGCGTCCTTTGACTTGGAAGTTTTCTCTGGAAACCCAATGTGAGGGCAGGGGTGGCTATCCCATCTTGCAGTGGGGAAGGCATAGAGACTGTGGAGCTCTGCTGCCTAGATTCAACTTCAAGTTCACAAGGTCTGTGGGACCTCAGCAAGTCTCTTCATTCTGAGCCTGTTTCCTCCTCTATCAAATGGTGCAGAGCAGGTCTGCTTGTTGGGGTGGGTCCCCAGCCCTCATAGGCCCCAGCACTGGCAGCACTCCTCTTTTTTCGAGCCTGCTCCCATGGCAGTTCTAGAGCTGTGGGCACAGGTGAGGTGTGGCAGGAGGGGAATCTGAGCCCCAATCCACTATCTCTATGCCTCTCTCCCAGGAGCACATGTTCAACCATGTAGGCAGTAAGCCCTACAAGTGTGATGAATGCAGCTACACCAGTGTCTACAGGAAAGACGTTATCCGACATGCAGCCGTGCACACCCGGGACCGGTCAGTGGATGTGGATGGAATGGGGACAGGGTGGGAAAGTGGGAGCCCAGAATAACAATGGTTCCAGTTAGTACCAGCTCAGGGCCAGGCCATTCATTGCACAATATAAACATTGGAAAGCAAGGCGGTTTATCCCTGACCACTTGGCTCAGACAGAGCAGGAGCAGGCAGGGCCTTGAGGTCCTTTATTTAATCTCTTCCCAGCTACAAGCTTTAATTTTCCTTCTATAAAATGGAGACGGACATTGTTGGGATCGAAAGATTTTTCAGACTCCTGGTCCACACTCATCTTTCTTTCATGGTACTGAGAGAGCAGACTTAGGACAAGTACATGGCAAAAAAAAAAAAAAAAAAAAAAAACCTTAGGAGCCTAGTGATTGCTCGCTGAATTAAATTAGACCTTCAGCTTCACAGGAGGACCAGTGAGCAGAGGTGGGAAACAGGGATCCACTAGATGGATCTGTTAACAAAAATTAATTAAAAGATAATTTTATTGTGTATGATTTGCAAGTCAGAGAACAGTCCTCGGTATGAACCAAAGACTTGCAGGGTTCTTAAAAGGAGGAGGATTGCCCTAACCGGTTTGGCTCAATGGATAAAGCATTAGCCTGCGGACTGAAGGGTCCTGGGTTTGATTCTGGTCAAGGACACTTGCTAGGGTTGCAAACTCCATCCCCAATAAGAGACATGCAAGGGGCAGCCAATCAGTGATTCTCATCATTGATGTTTCTATCTCTCTCCCTTCCTTCCTCTCTGAAATTAATAAAAATATATTTAAAAAATAATTTTAAAAGTAAAATGAAAGAAAGGTTGCTAGTGAAACAAGGTTATAAACTTACATTATTGGTTTTATTCTTTCACATCTTACATCATTCAGTTTTTGATCAGTCGTGGCAACTGGATTTTTCAACAGTCAGCTGACTCTGGTCAGTAAGTGGGGCTGTGATGCAAAAATCCAACTGTTGGGCCACATATTATGTTGTAAAAGTTCTTATAAGTCCTCAGATCTAAAACCATGTGTGTGTGAAAGCCAGCTCTCCAAGGTGCTTATAGGTTTTCTTCAGAAAATAAAAAGGAAGGGGACACCAGGTCAGCCGACTAGTACAATAGCATTCTTTCCTGTGAGACTTCTCAGAACTTCAAAATGTACTTTGTGACAGAGAAAGAATATGCCATTCCCAAATGGAGTGACGTGCAGACCTCTTAGCTTTCCCCCAGCAAACTAAAAGAAAGGGGCTTGGGTGGGCAGTCGGGACCCTCGGGGCTGAGGCTGGGTCTGAGTGGATTGGGTGGGCTCAGAGAAGCGATGGTCTAACTCCTGTGACTTTCTTCTCCAGGAAGAAGAGGCCAGATCCCGTAAGTCTGGGGCCTGGCCTGGGAAGGGAGCCTGCTGCAGAGCTGCTTGGGGGGTGGGGCCAAGAAGCAAGATCTCACCATCTGACCCCCTCTTGTCCCTCCTCAGACCCCAAAGCTGAGCTCCTTCCCCTGCCCTGTGTGTGGCCGTGTCTACCCCATGCAGAAGAGACTCACACAGCACATGAAGACTCACAGCACTGAGAAGCCCCACATGTGTGACAAGGTAGGTGGGGCCAAGGGCTGGGCAGGGATGGGGGCAAGAGGCCTCCCTAGGTGATCCATCACCCAACTCAGCCCATCCCTTTCAGTGTGGGAAGTCCTTTAAGAAGCGCTACACCTTCAAGATGCACCTTCTCACACATATCCAGGCTGTCGCCAACCGCAGGTATGGCCTTTGGGAGGCCTCTGGGGCTGGAGCAAACCCCACCCCCACCCCACTGCTGAGCTGCCCTCCTCTGACCACCCCCAGATTCAAGTGTGAGTTCTGTGAGTTTGTTTGTGATGACAAGAAGGCGCTGCTGAACCACCAACTGTCCCATGTCAGTGACAAGCCCTTCAAATGCAGCTTCTGCGCCTATCGCACCTTCCGCGAGGACTTCCTGCTATCTCACGTGGCTGTCAAGCACACAGGTCAGGCTAGTCACCCTTCCTGTCAGCCCTCCTCCTCCTCTCCTGCAGCCACTTGAGCAGTGCAAGCCCCTCCATTGTAAAGGGAATCCCCTTTTCGGGGGCCATTCTAACTTCAGTGCTAGTTCCAGCTCAGCCCACTGCTCTCAGGGTTGCCCTGGGCCAATCACTTTCCTTCTCTGCGCCTTCCTCAGCTGTGAAATGGGGGAACAGAACTACAGCTTGGTGGTTATAAAAGTGAGTTCCACTTGTTCTCTGGCCCTGTCTGTGCTGGGCACTGGGCTAGAGATCGGTCTTAGTTAGGCCCTGCCCTCAGGATGAAGCAGCAGAAAGATCATCAGTCTGTGCTTGCCCATGGAGGGTGTACAACAGTTGGTTTTTATTCTCCTTGGTTCCCAGCCCTCTGGCAGGCACACTAGGGAAGATTAGAGAAAGGAAGCCCAGGGGCTCCTTCAGATTTCTGTCTCCCTGGGAGCTGGTGATTCACAAGAGGAGGGTGTTATCATGTGACCTTGAAAGTAGGCACTGGCAGGAAGGCTTGAGTGCAGAGGGCAAACAGGTTTGTTTCTGTCCTGGCTCACCACCATGGGCAGCGCATGTGTCTGAGCTCAGAAAGGAATGGGGGAGTTGGAGAGGTCCTTGGGTGGTGAAGGTTTCTCTGGGAGGATGGATGAGGGAGTGGGTAGGCACTAGCATCCCCCACATGTGCCTACAGGGGCCAAGCCCTTTGCTTGTGAGTACTGCCACTTCAGCACGCGGCACAAGAAGAATCTGCGCCTGCATGTTCGATGCCGACATGCAAGCAGCTTCGAGGAATGGGGACAGCGCCACCCGGAGGAGCCCCCCTCCCGCCGCCGCCCATTCTTCTCTCTGCAGCAGATTGAAGAGCTGAAGCAGCAGCACAGTGTAGCCCCTGGACCACCCTCCAGCCCCCCAGGACCTCGCGAGGTAAGCTCAGCCAAGCAGACAACAGACAGGAAGGGCTTGGGACATTCACCAGGATGACAGTGTGACGTCATCCTCATCTGCACAATGGGTGCAACAAAGTGACCCCTGCCTCTGGATTGTGGTAGAGTAGCTGAGGCATAGACATGCCAACCCTAAGCTCAAAGTAGGGGTGGCTGTCCAGTGCTAGTAATAGAGAGGGAAAATATCAGCAGCTTAATCGTGATGATAGTTTATTTTCTCATATAAAGGAAATCCTAAGATCACTCTAGGGCTGGTGTGGCGTCTCCATGGTCAGTCATTAGGGACCAAGCTCTTTGTATTTTTTTCACAGCCCTCTTAGGAAAACCCCTTCCATCTTTGTGGTTGCCATGCTTCATTATAGCTGCAGGAGCTCCAGCCTTCCTAGCCACATCCTAGACAAGATGGGGAAGGGGCAAAATGGATGTCTGCCATCTATCCACCTGTCTTCCTTGTGAACTTTACCAGAAACTCCTGTTCAGCCATGTGACCACACTTTACCTAACTGCAAGAGAGGCTAAGAAATACAGTCCTGTAGCTGAGCATGTAGCCTCTTCACTCCCCCACCAAAAGATGGACCATCACCGTGTGCTGATAGAACACGGGCTCTGGAATCGGTCTTGTGTTCAAGTCCCAATTCTGCTACTCACTAACTGTGAGGTCGTAAGCCAGATATTTCACGTCTCTGAGCCTCAGTCAGTTCATCTGTAACATTGAGCTGTTAATTTAAAAGTGGTTGTAAAGATGAAACAAGCCAACACATATAAAATGCCCAATACAATGTTAATCAGCTTAACAATAACCCACAACCTTCGGACCAACTAAAATGCCCAATACAAAGAAGAAGCGCAGTACATGGCACTGGAATCTGAGCTGCTCTCTCAGGATTGGTTCTGTCCCCACCCTGCAGGTTCCCCCAGAGGTAGCACCTTTCCAGTCACCTGAGAACCCCTCATTGCTCTGTTCTGACACCCTGGGTGGCACCACCATCATCTACCAGCAAGGTGAGCTCTGAGGAAGGGTGGGAGCCAGCGTGTTGGGCATGGGCAGGGCTCGTGCTGGAAGATGGGGAGGGTGTTGGTGCCAGTTTTACAGCCTTTTCTAAGTCTCAGGTCCCACCAACCCAGGAGCTGAGGAGTCAGCCGCCATAGCCACACAGACAGCTTTGGATCTGCTGCTAAACATGAGTGCTCAGCGGGAGCTGGGAGGTGCTGCCCTGCAGGTGAGCCACCAGGGGACCTTCTCTTCACTAATATTGGGAAGAGAGGAGAGTGATGAAGCAGACATGCCGCACCCGTGGGGAGCTCCCAGTTAGTGGGTGAGACAGATCCCCTGACAACCAGTGAGTAACATGCACAGGAGGGGCACCAGCTGTGCCAAAGAGGCTTCAGGAGGGCAGGGAGGGCAGAGGATCTCTCCAGAGTCACCAGCAACCTCTGCAATGCTGAGCAGTGTTCACTGCTCCCCATGCCTTCTAGGGCCTGTTCTCCTGGCTCTGTGGCTACCCTGTGCCTGTGGGTCTGAACTAGCTTCCCACCTAACCTAGTGCCCTCATTCATGACACCTCCTACAGCCTGAGGACTGGGGGGCTTTCTCCCGCCCAAACCTCTGTCTTATCCATGCACCTCAAGCCCACACTTTCCTGAGTTCATCATCTTCTCCCCCTTTCATCCAGCTGTTCGGGATCACCTTTATCCCCATCTCCTCTCCCTCTGCACCTCCTTGCACTTCTACAAGGCAGAGAGAAGTTGTGTGCCTTCTGTCTCCCAGCCTCTTGAAAAGATGTAGAATATGTGAGATGATCAATTTCAATAGCTTGGAGCGGTAACATGCTGCTAGGGGCTGGGAACAGACAAAACTCCATGGAGGAGGGAGCCTGGTGTTGCACCCGGAAATCTTCATAGGATTTAGTTTGAGGCATTTGGGGTTGTAGAGAAGTTTTACATTTTTATATAGTTAAGTGTATCAGTCTTTAATCGTTTTTGCCTTTAGTATTCATCCCTAGAAAGGCCTCCTTCACCCCAAGACTATATAAAATTCATTTGGACTTTTTTTCTTAGGGTTTCATTTTTTACACTTAAATCTTCATTTCATTTTATTTTTGGTGTATGCAGAAAGGTTGGGGACTAACTTAATATTTTTTCCAAAAGTTGTCTAGTTTAATATATCAAATAATTTTCCCCAGTGGTTGGAAATGTCCCTTTATCATTCTCTAGATTCCCACACCTGTCTGCTCTTCTCGTGCCAGTATAATGCATTTCTTAAATTACAAAACTATATGGTTGTAAAAAAACAAAAAGAACATCTGTCCTACAATAAGGTGAAAGTTCTTAACTTTCCTCTCTTCCCACTTTTAGCAGGTTAATAAGCATATCTCCAGTTTTGTCCATATGCACACTAACAGACCTTTTGTTCCTTAAAAAAATGGGGTCACACTAGTCATCTCATCAATAACCTGTCTTCTTCACTCAGCAGTGTGGGGGGTTTGGCCTGACAAGCATATACAGGTCTCCTCAACATCTCCACATCACATCTCCACATCCTTCCATCAGACCGATGTCCTAACATTTACTCGTCAATCCTTTATTAGCTGAGTTGTTTCCAGTTTTTCATTAATTCAAGGCAGTACTTTAGTGCACATACATTTTCAGGTGCTCATAACCTTTTATTTAAAAAATAAAAAAAAACCTACAAGTAGAATTGGTGGGTTTGGAGGTATAAAGCCTCACAAAAAGATATGCCAAATTATATGACCACCCCTAGAGCATGTTTCTCTATGCTCTTGCCAACAATGGGTATCATCAGTCTTTAGAAATTTCTTCAGTGTAATAGAAGTATATTTCATGGTCATAACTTATAATTTTGCAATTATAAATGAAATTGAACTTCTGTATGTTCATAGACCATTTTATTTCTTCTCTGTCTTCTGGGTGTCCTGTATTAATTTTTTTTTTTAATATATATTTTATTGTTTATTTACAGAGAGGAAAAGAGAGAGAGACAGAGTTAGAAACATCAATGAGCGAGAGACATCGATCAGCTGCCTCTTGCACACCCCCCACTGGGGATATGCCCGCAACCAAGGCACATGCCCTTGACCAGAATCGAACCCGGGACCTTTACAGTCCGCAGGCCGACACTCTATCCGCTGAGCCAAACTGGTCTCGGCCTGTATTAATTTTTAAATTGAATTGTAAAGTCTTTTTTATTATTCCTTTGCAAGAGCTCTGTATATAAGGGATTATCTCTCATATGAATTGTTAAATCCCAATCACACACCCCCAATTTCTTTGTTTCCTGATTTCATTTTATGATTTGTTTTGTTCTAGGTTGTAGCATATTTCTGTCATAATTAGAAAAATCTCCCTATCCCAGGATTATAAAATTATCCACACTTTTTCACATATTGAGTTTTATTATTATATTTAGTCTTTAATCCATTTGAAGCAGACTTTGGAGTGAGATCTGAGATCACACTCTATTTTTTTCTTAAGTGGTTTGCCACTTGTTCCTCTACCCCAAGATTTCTCAACCTTGGCACTTTGGCCAGATGATTCTTTGTTGCAGGGCCGTCCTGTGCATCCTGGGATGTTTAGCAGCATCCCTGCCCTCTACCTGCTGGATTCCTATTGCACCCTGCCTGCCCCCAATTGTGACAACCAAAAAATGTCTCCAGACATTGCCCAATGCCCCTGGGGGGTTAGTATTGCTGGACCCTCTTCTTGTTAAGTGTAATTCCAGCAGCTGGGTGGGATCTGGAAAGGCAGGCTGTGTTTTGGCAGGAACACAAAGTTAGGGTTGTGCAAATGAGTGCTGGCAGCGCAATCTGCCCAGAGCCTGGGTGAGCTTTGAGATAGGAAAGAGCCTTGAACACTAGCTTCTTTGGCGCAGACCTGCTCAGAATGCATTGTGCTGTTGCAGGTGGCCGTGGTGAAGTCAGAGGATGCGGAAGCACAGTTAGCATCCCCTGGTGGGCAGCTCTCCTCAGCAAGTGCAGCTCCACAAGTGGTAACCCTCCACGTCGCAGAGCCAGGGGACGATGTGGCAGCCGAGAACCAGCTAGGCCCCTCTGACCTACAGCAGATCACCCTGGCACCCAGTCCATTCGGCGGGGCTGGGTACAGTGTCATCACAGCACCCCCTATGGAAGAGGGGACATCAGCTCCTGGCACACCCTATAGGTAAGGCCTGCCACTTGCAAGGACCCCTTCAGCCATTTTGTAGTCATGCAGCAGGGAGTCAAGAAGACCCTGCCCATTCATACCTAGTTGGTAGGAGGTAAAAATCCTACTCTAGATAGATAGATAGATATAGATATATAGATATAGATATACAGATGTATTAAAAGCCAACAACCGGAACACTGACGACCAGAATGACAAGGTGCTATGACCATTGTTTGCTATGACACCCACTGCAGCCAGGGAATGGGCCTGGTCATGGGTGGGGCTGGCAGCCAACCTCCTGCAGCCCCTTCCCTTAGCCTGCCCTGCCCTGATCAACCCCCCTCCCCCCCAACTACAATAAGGGGCAGAGCCAGCCTGCCAACCACTTGCGGGAGGGCCCCCTCTCCTTCCCCCTCCCCATTCCCCTCTTCCCTCTTCCCCACACCCCCTGCCCTGAATCAGCCCCACCCACCCCATTTGGAGGCAGGGCCAGCCAGCCCACAGCTCCTCCCCATGGCCAGCCTCACCCCCAATTGCCTGTGGGCCACCCCCTGGATTGGGTGCCCCCCCTCGCCCCAACACACACACACACCAATGGGTGCGGGGCCCATCAGCCAATTGCCCACAGCCCCTCCCCACTGGTTGGCCCTGCCTATTGGGCCCTGATCAAACCCTGATCAGGATGGGCTGGCTTGCCAGCCAACCTCCAGCCATCTCCTCCCGACTCCCCACCCTGATCACCAGCCGGACCCCACCCATACACGAATTTATGCACTGGGCCTCTAGTGCATACATAAAGTGATTGTACCATAGGGGAGTGCTATCTTCCTCAGGAGGTCAGAAGTGATCTTTCGGCCACTTAGATGTTCCAGGCACTTGACATTTGTGAACTTACCTACACCATTCTTGTGAGATCCACATTTCCTCACTTCACAAATGAGGAAACGAGCTAAGGAGGTAAAATAACTCTAAGGTCAGCCACATAGGTGAGGATTTTAGCCCTGCTCCCTTTGGTTCCAAAGTCCTTGTGCTCTTTGTTCTGAATGATTCCTGAAGGTGTTTTCCAGTTCTGACCTTTGGAATGAACTCTGGCCTCTTGCTGGCATTGGAGGCCTGGCATCTGCTCATGGCTTACTCCACATAGAGTGAATTTGGGGCAGAATTGTTTATACCTCATCTGTTGACCAAACCCCTGGGCAATCTGAGGAAGCCCTGGATTCAAGCACCAAACTATGTAGTTGGGATGGGAGTCTGGCTAGGCTTGCACTTGGGCAGTCATCTCAGCATCTCCCTCTACTCTTGGGTTGTGGTCCCTGTCAGCCCCACCTCTCTTAACTGGACCAGATTTAGGAACCCTCAGGCCATCCACCCCCACTCCATCATGCCCATCAAGGGGCAGGATTACCACTTGTGAGCAAGACAATTCTCTGGACACAGCACGAATGACAGAGACAGTAGAAGTTCGGCTGGCAAAGGGGCCAGGATTTAATCCAGGGATCCATCTGTGGTGCAATCACCCCTCAGCTGATGACTTTGTTGGGGTCCTCTATCCCCTCCTAGTACCCTGACTCACCCTCCTCTCTCTGCCCACAGTGAGGAGCCCCCAGGAGAGGCAGCCCAGGCTGTGGTTGTGAGTGACACCCTGAAAGAAGCTGGCACCCACTACATCATGGCAGCCGATGGGACCCAACTGCATCACATCGAGGTGAGGCTGGATAGCTCACCACACCCCATTTCCCTTCCCATCCCTCCCTCCCTCGGTGCCTCATGCTCCCATCTCCACAGCTGACTGCAGATGGCTCCATCTCCTTCCCAAGTTCTGATGCCCTGGCCTCTGGAGCCAAGTGGCCACTGCTACAATGTGGGGGGCCATCCAGAGACGGTCCTGAGCCCCCATCTCCAGCCACAACCCACCCGGTAGAAGACCCCCAAGGCTCTGCCTCCCCACCTCCGACAACTAGTAAAGCCCTGGGCCTGGTAGTGCCCGCCTCCCCACCATCTGCAGCGTCAAAGAAGTTTTCCTGCAAGATCTGTGCCGAGGCCTTCTATGGCCGAGCTGAGATGGAGAGTCACAAGCGGGCCCATGCCGGGCCGAGTGCCTTCAAGTGCCCGGACTGCCCTTTCAGCGCCCGCCAATGGCCTGAGGTCCGGGTAGGTGCTGTTCCCTGTGCTCCGTTGTCACAAACCTTAACTGAGTGCCCCCTTGAGCCAGCCCTCTCTAGTTAGAGATAACTCGGCAAGTTTCTCAGGTTGCTCAGTCTGGGGAGAGACCAGACATGACTGATGCCTGACCCTGTCCCCAGAGTGCACCATGCACATGGCAGAGCACAGGCAAAGAACATGTCTGTGGACTTGGCGTGCTAGGAGATGTCATGGAGGTGGGCCCGCATATATCATGCTGAGGAAAATTCGAGACTTTCAGAATACGGAGGGTGCAGAGTTCAAGGGAGGATCTGGGGCAGGTTCATGATCCAATTTGGGGGGCTCCCTCCCAAAAACCCCTTCACCCAAGGATTTTGTTTTCAGATCCAACCACACACTGAATGCTCACACTACCTCAGTAAGGGAGCAGGGCCTAGGGCCCGAGAATGTCAGGGCTGAGGGAGATGGCTAGAGGTCCTTTTGTCCCTACCTGTACCCTTATGGATAAACTGCATCTGAGAGCAGGGGCAGGATTTTCCCAGTGATCTAATGACAGAGCCTCTGGCTTTTCCCAGGTAACCAGTACCAAAGCTCGGTCTGGTTTGTACTCTGCCCAGTTCCTGATTCACCTCAGAGAACATGTTCCCTGACTGCTGTCCGTCCGGACCCAGCTGATGCCCCTTACTCTGCCCCTTCCGCAGGCCCACATGGTGCAGCACTTAAGCCTGCGGCCCCACCAGTGTAGCCAGTGCAGCTTTGCCTCCAAAAACAAGAAGGACCTGCGGCGGCACATGCTGACCCACACCAACGAGAAGCCTTTTTCATGCCACCTCTGCGGGCAGCGGTGAGGCTGGGTATAGACAGGCTGGGGCTGCCGGGCACGCATGGTAGGGCCACCTCTGAGAACTTTGTCCTTCCCCTGCAGTTTTAACCGGAACGGGCACCTCAAGTTTCACATCCAGCGGCTACATAGTCCTGATGGGAGAAAGGCAGGGACCCCTACTGCTCGGGCCCCAGCTGGGACCCCCACCCAGACCATCATCCTGAACAGTGATGACGAAACACTGGCCACACTGCACAGTGAGCTGCCCCAGGGGACCCAGGGTAGACCAGGCACTTAAGCCTCTGCCCTAGAGAGCACCCTTGGGCTGTGGTGGGGCCCGGGGCATTTCAGATTTTCCTGGAGCCCCTGAGTGAACACCCTCCCCTCTCTGCCCAGCCGCACTCCAGTCCAGTCATGGGGTCCTGGGCCAAGAGCAGCTACAGCAGGCACTGGGCCAGGAACACATCATCGTGGCCCAGGAGCAGACAGTGACCAATCAGGTGAGAGCCTGCACTGGGGGCCCTGCCTGCAGGTCAAGGGAAGGGGTGGGGCACATGGAGAGCTGAGGCTAGAGCTGGCTTGGCTGTGGCAGGAGGAAGCCACTTACATCCAAGAGATCACCACAGCAGATGGCCAGACAGTACAGCATCTGGTGACCTCCGACAACCAGGTGAGCTACTGCTGAACACCTCAGCTGTGAGTGCCCCTCCACCAGGCCCCACAGTGGGAGGAGCAATACTTTCCAAGCCACCCTTCCCAGGATGAGTGTTTGCAACGGCCAGTGGTGTCCCTGGTCCCTCTGCCCTAGCACCTGCCTCTCCACCCTCCAGGTACAGTACATCATTTCTCAGGACGGAGTTCAGCACCTGCTCCCTCAGGAATATGTTGTGGTCCCAGAGGGCCATCACATCCAGGTAGGCCAGGCCTCGGGTGAGAATGGGATGTGAGGAGGATGGACAACCTCCTTCTAGGATCACCGAGTTGGCTTCCTCTCTCCAGGTACAGGAGGGCCAGATCACGCACATCCAGTACGAACAAGGAGCTCCATTCCTTCAGGAGTCCCAGGTAGGGCCCTTGGGGAACCAGATGAAGCTGAGGCATGGGCAGAGCTCTTCCAAGGCCAGGTCTCATTGGCTTCTCCCCTCCAGATCCAGTATGTTCCTGTGTCCCCAGGCCAGCAGCTCGTCACACAGGCCCAGCTAGAAGCTGCAGCACACTCGGCTGTCACAGGTATAGTATTGGACCCTGAAGACCATGGGGCCCGGGGCCCAGGCCCAGCTTCTGGAGCCTCAGCTCACCATCCTTTCCCCTCCCCTGGCAGCGGTGGCTGATGCTGCCATGGCCCAAGCCCAGGGCCTGTATGGCACAGAGGAGACAGTGCCTGAACACATCCAACAACTGCAACACCAGGGCATCGAGTACGACGTCATCACCCTGACCGATGACTAAGCCCCAGGGGCACAACACAGACCATGGATATTGGGGCTAGCCCTGTTGGGGGTGGAGGGAATCCACCAGGACTCACCTCCCTGCTCCACCTAGGATCTCCAGATACTGAGCAGCCAGCATCCTGTCACTCCAAGGGAGCCAGACCTGTGCTATGGGGGTTGGGGTGGGGCAGCTATGGGCACCAGCCAGGACATGCTGGGTGCCCCAGCCTGCAGGCAGGCTTTGGGAAAAAGAAATTTATTTTTGTTTGGATGGACCCACTGGCCTTACTCTCAATAAAGGGACCAGAGTCCAGCTCTAGCTGGCTCATTTGTCCACTTGCTACTACAGCCTGAAGCAGGCAAGGACTTGGGGAGAGGACAGGTGGAGCCTGTTACAGCCACAAGTAGGGACTGAGGTGGAGGCAGCGTAGCCTGCAGAGCATCCAGTCCGGCCTCTCTAAACCACAGTGGCCCCACACAGCCCATGAGGGCCCCCAGCTTCTTCCCCTGGGCCCCAGAGCAGCAGCCTGTGATGGCTCTGAGCTGTATTTCCTCCTGAATCCTGACTTGAGTGTAAAACATACCTGGCTGCCCACATAATGTGGTGGTTCCAAGGCCAGCAGGCGTCTAACTTTCTACCTGGGCAGAGCTGCCAGCCCAGCCCTCAGCTCCCCACCTGGATTAGCACAGGCTCAGTTCTGGGAGTTAGGGATTTACCAGGTAGATGGTGCAGGGCTCTGGACTCCAGACCTGCTGGGCACAGGCTGAGGAGTAGGACACTGGAGCCCTGGGTCGGGTGTTAAGGCCCAGGGGTCATGAGGTGAACCTGGACATACAGGGTGTAATCCCAGAAAGCTCCAGGTTTCTCAGCTTTCTGCCCTCAAGACCCTCACTCGTCTGACTGAAGGGTTTCTATATTTACTTTTACAAATGAAACAAGGTGGCACAGAAGGTAGGAAGGTGTGGGGCCTATTTACAGGGAACTTGAAGTTTGAGGTGAGAAGTGGGGGGGGGGGGGGGGCAGGGAGGGGGAGCCTTGGCAGAGCCATAATCTTCCTATGTCATTGGCAGCCCAAGAGCAGAGTCCCACCAATCCAAGCTAGCACCCTGGGGCTCCTCCTCCCCGCAAGATGTGTTAGGTGGGGTGAGACTCTCTGCTAGGGCCCTGCTCTCGGCCTGAGTCCCGGTCCTTAGCCTCCGAGGAGGATGAGGAGGAAGAGCTGGAGCCATGGCTGCGGCCTGACTGCCGGTAGGCGGCGGTCAGCTCTTGCAGCTTCTCAGCAGTTGGCCCCCACTTGGCAAAGCCAGGGTCGTTCTGCAGGAAGAGCACGGCTGTGTTGTGGACCACCTTGTAGTGCATTTCTTCCCTGCGGGCAGAGGCAGCAGCTCATGGTAGGGCTCTGCTGGCCCAATCAACCCAGCCCTCTCCCCCTGCCCTCCCTGGAAACCCACTTCTTGCAGACGTGTTGGGACCCACTGCGGTACTCATGTTCAAAGGCGGGCAGGACCAGCTGGTGGCGTTTGAAGCGGCTCTGCTCCATGCGGGTGAGCGCCGGTGTTGGGGGTTCCCGCCACTCAGGGATGAACACGATGAAGGACAGGGGCTCCGGTGAGCTCTCGAGCAGTTTCTGTGGGAGGTGGCACGGGGTGGATGTCAGAGGCTTCCCTCCAGGTGCTGGCAATCTTGCTTGCCATCCCCCACCCCAGAATAGCATACCCACCTCGAAGTGAGAGACCATGGCATCCATGAGCTCCTCGCAGAATGGAGGGTTAGCCTCAAAGGAACCACTCAGCGGGGAGAAGTCCAGGCAGGGCCTGGGGACAGAGGTGAGCATTCTAAGTCCCAGAAGGTTCCAGGTTCCTCAGCTTTCTCTGCCCTCAAGACCCTCACTCATTCTTACTGGAAGGTTTCTGTATTTACTCAGCCAGAAATAGGTGCTGCCCCCACGCTTAGGCAGCTGATAAGGCCAGAGTCCAACATTCGTCCTTAATTCATCCTAGAGCAAGGTGTGGCCATATCCATTGGACATATAAGGACAGAGAGGCTCAAGTCCTTTGATGACCCAAGTCTACCAAGCCTATTAGTAGAGGAGCTGGAGCTCAAATCCATCTCTGACCCCACTGCCACCATAGCACATGCCACACCCAGGATTTCCCTAGCTGCTGAGCTTCCCTTATTGCTGGCCTGGCCCTGTCTTCTTGCTGGAGACCATCTCCTAGTATGTTCACCTCCCTGTTAGTCTGTAAGGCTTCTGAGCTCTGTATCACCATTTCTCTTCCTTCCAGTATTCCAAATACAGACTAATTCACTAAGAAACCCACAGGCTTGGTTGGGGATAGGGTGTTAATAGGCCCCCAGAGGTTTAAGGATATGTCCAAGGTCATGTATCTGACATGGTGAAGGCAGGGACCACACCCTAGGTGGATTCCAAAGCATTTAGAAAGCAGCTAGCTAAGGTAAGATCGGCCCTCTGGCTGACAGTTTCCCAGGCCTGGGCAGGGGGGCCCAGTAGTCCCCTAGCTCTCACCCGCGGGAGCCAAAATAGCCATCTGTGTCAGGGAAAGCAGAGCAGTACTGGCGGAAGTAGCAGTTGAGGGGTGAGGCAAAACACTCAAAGGTGACACTGAAGAGTCGGTGGAGGGCCTCGAAGACGTGCACTGGCAGCGATCCCTGCAAGCCTGTCCCCTCGTAGAGGCCTACGCCAAACATCATCTGCAGAATGGCCACAGTCAGCATCTGGTGCTCAGTCTCCCCCTCCAGAAGAGCCCTCCCCTGCTGCCCCGGCCTATACCTGGTACCGTCGGAGAAGACACCAGACTCGGGGCAGAAACTTCTCAAAGGCAGAGTCATCAATGCAGCTATAACGGTAAAGGAGCCACTGTAGGACAGAAAGCAGTGGGTTTCAATTCAGCACAGGTGCCTCCCTTGTCACTGGCCTCTTGCTGAAGACTCTGGGTTAAGAGAGATCCAGCCCTCCCTTCTTCCATCCGCCTCCCCCTTCCCTCAGCTCTTACCAGCTTACTGAAGTAGTTGCGGCTGACCTTGACCATCTCTCCCTTATACCGGATGCAGACCACGTTATTCTCTATGTGCATCTCCACAGTAGGCATGGGGGGCGCAGGCACAGCTAGCCGTACTGGGTAGCAGTATACCAGGCGGGGCTCCACCTCTGGGGCCTCCACCTCCTCTGTGGATAGGAGAACAGTGAGGGACCGCCCTGGACACCTGTGTCCACTGTGTCAGGGGCTTCCCACCTCATCCAGTGACCAAGGAGGTATGTCCCACCCCACAGAGGAGTAAGTGCAGCTCCGAAGGTTCAGTAACAAAGGACACATGGGGGACCAGGTGATTAGTAGAGGCAAGCACAGGTGGCCTGTCAATGTGCCATGCCTTGGGGCCTGGCAGGCAAGCAGGTTCAGATGCCATGCAGAAGTAGAACTGCATCACCCTCATCACAGTAGTTACAATACCTCACTTAGGGGTCTTCTGGGGCCAACCACTTTAACTTACCACTGAATCCTCACATGATCCTATTGGTCAGGTATCATACCTCAATTTGAGAACACTGAGGCTTACAGAGTTTGAACGAAGGTCCAGCTAACAGTCCCTGCCTGTCTTTCTCTCCCACCTCCTCTCATTGCTTTGCCATTTCCTAGAAGAGTGCTGAGAACCCTGGCCAAAGTACACAGCAGGTTGTGTCCCAGACGATGCTGGGAGGAATGAGCCACCCCAAACCAGTCTATGCCTTGAGGTTGTCTCACTTGTCCCTTCAATCAGGGCCTAGGATAGAGCTCATAGTACAGTCCCTTCCACCTGGCTTCCTACCTGGGATGTTGTTTTCCTTGAGGATGGCAAGGTGCTTCTCTCGGATTCGTTTGACGTAATCCAGGGAAATGTGGTAGATCTTACTGCAGATGCCTTCCACAGAGTCCTTGGCCGCGGCCGAGACATGGGGGCCACACTGTTTGCGCAGATGTTCCAGGCGATCCTGGAGGAGACAGAGCTCTGGTGAGCTGGCAGGCAGGGGAGGCTCTGCTACTTACTAGCTGTGTCGTTAGGTCTCTGAATCTCTCTCTCACTGTTAAGGACACATGAAATACTTACCTAGCAAGGCAGCTGGAATATTAAATATGGTCATTCCTGCTAAGGGCTTAACAAGCCCCTGGCATATATAGAGTAAGTGTCCAATAAATGCCATAATTTAATGTTGGGGTTACATTGTGCCAGATCCCATGATTCTTGGTAGAGAAACAGACAATTGGGCATAGTCCCCTTTTACAAAGCATTTGTAGTTATTGGAGAGAGATCATTACAGAATGGGATCCTTCCTTGATCATTGTAGATTTGAAATTTGAGCTTTTAATAACTTGCAAGAATAATTACGGGCATTTGTAATTTTGCTGAGTCACACATGTGAAAGTTGGATGAGTGAAAATGAGTCACTCTGGCTATTGAGCACACACCTACCTTTGTCAGTCTCTACGTGTCAAGTACACAGTTACTATCGTGAGGTGCGAAACCTTGTCTCTTGTGAAAAATAGTCCTGAAAAGAGAGCCCATTGCTAGTGCTGGTGAATTAAAGAAGAGATGGGTTTGGACCAGAAAAAAAAAATGTTTTGGACACATTGAAGTAGGGAGTTGAATTGAATCTTGTGGTAGCTCTTCAATATATGAACACACACACATCTAAGAAAAGACAGTTTGTTAGTCTGTTTCCAAAAGATGTTGATTGTTCATTAAGTTGAAAAGGCAGCTACTGATGGTAGCCAAGCACAAAATTCCATTAAGAATCTTAATGGAAATGTTCTTTGGGGAAAAGTCAGGAGCCTGGACAAACAGTTCTATTCACATGAGTTTGGGGACTGATGAGTGTCAAAGGTCTGCTGATCTGCTGAGCAGGTCGTCCTGAGGCCCTGCCCAGCCTGGGCAGGCAGAGTGGGCTTCTGGGAGGAAATGGCCACAGAGCCTTCCCATTGACCTTATCCAGGGCCACTCACCATGTAGTCCTCCTTGGAGGCTGAGTGGTCCTTCCGCAGCCAGCTGAAGGTGTCCTCCACGTTCCACTTGACCACCTTCCTGCTGTCAGGGGATGCACTCCTGCCAGAGAGCACGGGGACCAGCGGTTAAGGGTCTGCTCTAACCTCCTTACTCCGCCCATCCCACTTCCAGTGGTTTTTAGCTATCAACTCCTCGATTTACATCACAGCCTCTCTTTTGCCTTTGGGAGCTAACCCCACTTCTGCCATCGAACACAATGACAGCTCTGTTGAGTGTGAGCCAATGGCCTGTGGAACCAGCCCCTCTTCACAGACCCATCCTGCTGGGGGCAGGAGAAAGCCAAACCTGGACTCGATGAGCCGCCTGGCCGCCTCTGCGTATTTAAAAAGCAAGCGCTTAGCTTCCTCCCGGAACTTGATTCGGGATAACCTAGATTAGAGAGTGGACAGGGTTAGAGTCCTTCTAAACAGAACTGGGCACAAACTAAATAGCCCTGGGTCATCCTCAGTTGTGGAACTATACCTGATGGGAATGTCATTCATGATTTCACGAAACATGGAAGGCGACACAACTGGCTCACAGTTGCTTGGCAACATGGGGTCAGAGCCTTTGTCCACCACCTTGCGTTCCAGCATCCAGCGGTTGAAAGATTCCCGAGGGGGCTCAATGCCTGCAAAACAGGAAGACTAATGAAGGTCTGAATTCAGGAGGCATTGTGTGGCCATTGGAGGTGCAACAGGAAATAAGACATGACTGCTGTTGTCAGGCTTCCATTCTAAGCAACATCTGACAATCACTAGTTCTTCAAAGTATGTTACATAAGGTAAGAAAGGGAGAGGGATGTCTATATTTCAGCAAACTTAGGCAGATTTATTTACTAATTAAAACTACCATTTACTGTGCACTTTCCATTCCACTTACTCTTTGTAGTAATCCTGTGAGGTAGGTCCTCTTTTTATGTGCTTTTACAAATACATAAAAAGGCTCTGAACGGTGCCTGGCAAATAGTAAGCATTCTGAAAGTGTCAATAATTGTTTCTTGTTTTGTTACTGACCTTAGCCACCCTTTATGTAGGCACTGTTATTGTCCCTATCTTACAGATGATGGAACCCAAGTGCAGAGAGGCTAAGTGAGGAGCCCAAGGCCACAGAACCAGCACTTAGTGGAACTGGGACTCCAACAGGTCTGTCCCCCCATAGCACATGCTCAACCACTGGGTTCCAGAGTGCCATTCCCAAGCCCTACTGGCCAACCCCTGCTCCTGCTAAGGGTGGATGAAAACAAAGGCCAAGGCCAGGAGACAGTTACCTTCTCGCTGCTGGCACAGCTCCCGGTAGTGCTGCCGAAGCTTCAGGATGAGCTGGGAGCGGAGCAGCTCCACCTCAGGATGCGGGGGCAGCACCTCGGAAGGGCCCCGGTGCTTGATGACAGCGTTGGTCTGGATATCTAGATCCCAGTACACCCTAGGGGGATGGAGAGGAGCAATGAGGAAAGCAGAGAAAAGGGAGGAGGGGCACCCTACCCATCACCACCACCTCAGTCGTAGGCACCAACAATGGGTGTCCCCAAGCCAATCAACAGGGACTCACTCAGTGGGTCGGAGGAGAGCTGCCTGCTGTTTATCTTCAGGGGATGTTCCCCAAATCTTCAGTGTTGGGGTTCCTGGGATGCTGGGGGAACTGGGCACCGGTGGACCTGTGGGTGTCACAGGGATTTCGATCTGGAGCAAAAGAGTCAAAGGCATCAAGTTAGAAGAGCTGGCCGATGGCTCCAGCGCTGTGTACACTGGGGCGCTGGGCACTGGGCTCCCCTCCTGACTGGCCTGGAATGCCCAGCCCTTGCAGGGAACCTGCTAGCTGCCTACAGGAAGCTGCAGGCACTCACCTTGGGCTTCTTCACACCATTGCCGCTTGGCTGCTCTTCTGAGAGCTGCCGCTTTCGGGACTTGTTCTCAGTTGGAGGGGTTTCCACCAAGCTTGAGTCTTGGGGCAGTGGGGTCGCATTCAGCCCCAAAGGGTCCGACTGGAGGAGGGAGACCAGCAGAGTTGCAACCAGAGCCAGCAGCTTAGGAGTCCCAGTACTGCGGAATCCTGATGGCCCCCACCCCCTGCTCCGACTCCTCAGAGAAGAACAGGGGGCTGGGATGCAGAACACTGGGCACTACTCCTGCCTGCTACTTGCAACTGTGTGACCTTGAGAGTTACTTCCCTTCCTAATTCCCTTCAAAACGGCCATGATACCTCACCACTGATTGATGATTAAACAAGTCAATGAATATGACCAGCTTAATGTGACATCTGGCATGAGGTCAGCACTCAACGTGTTAGTGTTTTCCTTAAGAACCAAAAAAAGTCAGGAATGAAAGGAAAATTCAAGAAACACTTGTTTTTTAAAAAGCGAAGCCCTGTGATGGAACTCCTTTGGTGACAAAATATGCAAGTGATGGTGGGCAGTGGGCCCTGAAATCACATCAGGTACAAATCCGGGTCTGCCTCTTACTGGCTGTGAGGTCTTGGGCCAGTCATTTTGCCTCTCTGAGCCTCAATGTCTTCATCTGCAAAATGGGAATGCCAACTGGCTTGACTGTTTCTAAGAAAAGAAAGACTGTCCAAACTGACAGAGATCCAGAAGCCCATGCTCCCACCAGACTGCCCGTACCTCCCTTACCACAATGACCTCGAAGATCCCAGAATGCGCGTGCCCTCCCCTTACCAACCTTCTTATCTTAACCACTAATTCAGAGAAGCATTCAGGAACCCCCCCCCCCCCCCCCCCCCCCCCCGCCAGACCCAGTCAGGATCCCTGATGCACCCTAACATCCTCCTTCACAAAAGCGCCACATTGTAATCCTAGTAGTCCCCTCCAGTAGATCCCTGAGTTCAAGGGCAGGACCATGTCTTTCTTGTTCACACTGCATCCCCAGCACAGTGCCCAACGTGTAGTACAGTTCAGTATCACACTATTCTAGTCTGTTTATATGAGTCTAGATTCCATGAGAATGAGACTGTTCTGTTGTCATAGTACCCCCAGAACAAGGCGAATAATAATGTTCAGGGTACATTTGGGGAAGATCCAGATGCCAATGGCTGCTGTGAGACCCTGCCCGAGGCTGGAACTTACAATAACGTCATGCTGGCCCAGCACGGGCATCTCCCACAGAGACTGGTTGGTGAATCTGTTGAAGTAGTAGGGCCGGTTCTCCCTCCTGCTCCAGCACTTCTCCCAGCCCGCATGTACCAGCTCCTCTGCAAACAAGCATGGAACCCAGCCTGGGTCAGGGCTCCTGGGCCACCCTTCTGACCCCGCCACCCTGCCACTACCCCTTGTCAGTACCTGGGAGGTCCTGTGCCAGGCGGATGGGCTTTGGAGAAGAGGGCTGGCTCTGATTGGAGGTGCCTGGGGAGTGACTCAGCAAGGATGCTTCCTCCCGGGGGCTGCCGTGGTTCTCATTGGCCATCTCAGCGCCCACACTGGACCTGCCACACACAGAACCAAAGGGTGTCAGGGCCATCAGGGCATGGAGGTCATTTCCACCCACCACCCTGCAATTACAACCTAGAGGGCCCCAGTGATCACCTGCAGATGTGGGAAATCAATCCCGTGCCGTCCTGGAGGGACAGCGTGGTGCCATAGGAGCCCTGGAATCTAAGCTGCAGTTTCCTCAACTGTAAAATGGGTGTACTCCTATTGCTCCTTTTGCCTGAAGTATGCTTTCCCTAATTCTCTGCCTGGCTTGCCACTAGGTTCTCATCCTCCAGGAAGCCTTCCTTGACTCTTCCCTCCCCAAGCAAGGCAGGCAGAGCCCCTCCGTAGGGCTATAAATATCTACATTGTAGCACTCAGTCTGTGGTCTATGAGCTGGGTTTGTCTCCCCATTAAACTGTCAGAACTCCCAGGACTTGGAATTGGGTCCAGTTTAGCCCTCTCCAGAGTGCTCAGCAGGGTACCTGTGCTCTACTGAAAATATTTACAAAGCATCAAGTGACAACACAGAACAGGGTCTACCTTTGAGAAGCTATTCCCACAAGAAGGAACTGCCTCCTCTTTCCTGCTCCTGTCCAGTAAAATCTAATTGGCACAAAGCACAACCCACAAGGGACATGACATCGAAATAGAGCCTCATTTTATACTGTAGGGCGGGAAGCGGGAAGCAATCTGTTGCTAAAAGGAACCAGTGGAATCGAGGAATGTTGAAGTCAGTCCTTCATAATCTCCAGGTGAAATTTTATTTAAATACCAGGAAGGTCAGCTCCTTCAGATGTGTATTACTTACAAACCCCACCAAAAATACACCCAACATGTCTCGATGAACAAAGTAGTTCCCAACCTGGCCGTCAGACTCCTAGATGGCCAACTGTGACCAGACTGGTGATCCTCATGGTGTTTTCAATATGTCACAATACCCCAAAGAAGTCAAACATACCCACCGAAAGACCACAAAGGCACATTTAAACATCAGTTATCTTTGCTTGCTGAAATTTTATCAATTCACTGTGGTCACACTGATTATCTCATGCTGATCAGAAGCTCTGATTGGCTGTTGACAACATCATAGGAGTCATTGGGACATTGATTTTATTGTACACTCAGTCGGAGACATCTTTTGTTAATTTGGAAAGGGAAAAGTGAATGGTTGTTTCATGGGTACAGTTTGGCAAATAAAAATGCAGGGAGCAAATGGACATCCATACAACAGAAAGGGGCCATGCTAACAAAAAGGTTTGGAATCACTGACCAAGGGGAGAAAAAGCTGTAGTTGTCTTGGTTCTCTGCGGAAGAGGGGTTCCTGGTGCCTTGGGGCTGAGCCCACAGGTCTCAAGGCTGAACGAGTTCCCTCTTTTCTCACCCTCCAAGGTCTGCAATACTAGCATGAGAGGATTTTCTTCTCTGGCCGGGTGGACCCCGAGTCACAGGGTCCCACAGAGGCAGGGAAGAGGCCTGCAGAAAGGCTCAGCACGTGGGTGGGCTGGTCAGCAGTAGAGTGAACGGGGACCCAGGGAATTCCTTGCATCAGCAACTGCAGAGCAAATAAAAGAAAACAGTCACAGACCTGTGGAACACTGCGGAGCAGGGACAACAACAAGATGGGCAAACTGGAAACCTCCCTCAAACACTGTGGGGGAGCTGGGGACCCGGAATAAAAACGGTTCTTCTCAAGCTTCCCAACCTATCAGGTTCACCCTCTTAGACATGCAGTCTATAGAGCTCTGTGTTGATGAGGGCCCTGGGCCTAATTTAATGTTCTGTCACTGTCTTAAAATATTTAAATTTTTAACCATGGGCCCACATTTCATTTTGCACATTGGACCCTTCATATTGCCCTGCCAACTGAAGTATCTCAAGACAAGAGAAAAGTGAACAACCATACATATCACAGATTAAGGACAAGCTCTCAGCCACCCACACTTCTTTGAACTAAGTCTCTAACGAACACACACATGCAAATGCATTATATAACAGGGTGTTCATCTTTACTGAAAACTATTTTCCCCAAGAAACACAGTGTGATACTGATGCACCAGTTAGATTAGCTATGCGGAGGCGGCACAGCTTACTGAAGCCAAATGGGGACACTGCAGTGTTTCCAAAACCCGCTATGCATAAGAACCAGGTGGCTTGTAAAAAAAAAAATCAGATTCCTGTCCCTCACTTCACATCTCAGGAGTCAGAAATGGGGAAGGGAGGTACACAAGAATGTGTGTGTGTGTGTGTGTGTGTGTGTTTAAATGAACGTGAAGAGTGGGACTGAGAGATGGGATGACCAGCCTTTTTGCTTTATACCATTTCAAATCGTTAGCAGTTTTTTACAATTAAAATTTTTTTTAATTTCCCAGCTGATTTGGATGCAGCAGGTAATTTATCAAAGTACCAGTGGGGCCCGACGGGCATGGCTCAGTAGTTGAGCACCCACCTATGAGCCAGGAGGTCACAGTTGGATTCCTGGTTGGGGCACGTGTCTGGGTTTCAAGCTCCGTCGTGCAGGAGGCAGCCAATCAATGATTCTCTGTCATCACTGATTTTACTATCTCTCTATCCCTCTGACGGCAATAAAAAAAAAATTTAAGTACCAGCTGGGGTTGGGCAGACCCAAGTTCCAGAACCTTCTGCTAACCGATTTATAAACCTCACTCAATCTCTATGGTCTCTATGCCTAGAGTCTAGCATATTTACAGCCTCAGTAAAACACAAATATTATTATTAAGATGGCGTTTTTATTGATTCTGTAGCTCGCTGGCCGCCCGCATACGGCAGTTTGACAGCCAAGCAGTTTAAGGATAAACTATCAGCGCAACCAACCAGAGAAACCCACCACAACACAGGGTCCATTCCAGGACTGGAGAAAGATGGGGGCGGGATCGTCTCAGTAACACGCCAATCAGAACCGTCCAGCCCAGTAGGGCGGGGTCAAAGGACTTGCAAAGTGCGCAGGTGCGGGGGCGCGCGAGGGAGGGGCGACCCCCCGCGCGCGCACACCTTCCCCTCTCCCCCCACCCCAGCGGGGGCGGGCTGTTTGGCGCGCGCGCGTCGGCCCATCTCCCGGGCTCCGCCCCCCGCCCTGCCGCGCGCTCCCGCCCCCGGGCTGAGGCGACTCAGAGTCGGAGCCCGACACAAAGGCGGTGGCGGCGGCGGCAGCGGAGGGGCCTTGCAGGCCGCTCCGCCAGCGCTCTCCGGGCCCACCTCCCTCACCCAGGCCACCGGCCCGGCCGCCCACCCTCAGGCCTAAGATGGCGGCGGCGGCAGAGACGAAGCAAGCGGTGGCCCCGAGTGAAAAGCGTCGGAGAAGCCACCACCGCCCGACTTCGGACTCCCGGATCCTGGCCCGGCTCGCAGCGGTACCACGGCTTCCTGGCGCTCTTACCTGCCCGAAGTGGACTCGAGGGGATGCGGCGATACGTTCTGCTCGGCCGCCCGTTTTGCCGCCTCCGCCTCTCCCTCCCCAGCGCCGCTCCCGCCATCTTGTGTCCCGGGCCGGGACTCCGCGCTGCGCATGCGCTGGTCCCGCCTCTGAGGGACCTCGCCGCTCCCGGCCGCCATCTTGAGTGTGGCAGGACAGTCCGGGTCGTCAAGCCCCGCTTCTTTTCGGCCCCCTCCTCTACCTCTCGTTTTCCCCTGCTCCTCCATGCGGGTCTGAGGAGCGGGAAAACAGCTTGGCGGGCCCTGGGGTGTGTGATAGTGGAAGGAACGAACTCACAAGGACGCTCCCTGCCTCAGTTTCCCACGCGGGCACGCCCGCTTGGCGGAAGGACCCGGGTGGGCGGTGCGGGGCGGCATTGGATTGCGTGTTCGCACCAGGGGGCGCGGGCGGGTTTGAAACGCAGGCCCGGCTCGGACGCCGCCCGGGGGCGGAGTCCTGATGACGTAGCTGCGGACGCAAGGTGCTCCGGGGTCCTAGCCCCGGCGCTGCGCCGCTTCCAGCCTGTCGCTTGTCCTCTCTGGGCCTCTGTCTAGGATTTTACAGCCGCTTTCCATGTCCAGGGTGCATGCAAATTGGGTCTCCCATAATGAGGCTGCACAGGTTATAAGTGCTCTTGAGTAGAAGAAAGAACGCAGTGGGAGGCAATAAAGATGGCTTTGCTGGTTGCAACTGGCTAATTCTATATTTTACACTGTAGCCCGACCGGTGTGGCTCAGTGGTTGAGCGTCTACCCAGGAATCGGGACCTTTATGGATTCCCCGTCAGAGCTCATGCTGGGGTTGCGCTTGATCCCGGTAGGGGGCGTGCAGGAGGCAGCCGATTGATGTTTCTCACGGATGTTCCTGTTCTCTCTCTGAAATCAGTTAAAACATTTTTTTAAAATCTTACACTGTAGCCCTAACCGGTTTGGCTCAGTGGATAGAGCATCGGCCTGCGGACTCAAGGGTCCCAGGTTCGATTCCGATCAAGGGCATGTACATTGGTGTGGGCACATCCCCAATAGGAGGTGTGCAGGAGGCAGCTGATTGATGTTTCTAACTCTCCCTCTTCCTTCCTCTCTGTAAAAAAAATAAAATATATTTTAAAAAAAATAAAAGATGAACTGAACTCTCGAAGATTTCAATTCATTTAAAAAAAGAGCCTTACACTGTAGAGATCAACCAAAGGACTTGTATGCATGTATATTATATAAGCCTAACCAGTGGTCACGGACAAGGGGGAGGGGGGGAATGGCAAGGGAGGGAATGGGAATGGGGAGATGAGGACAATTATGTGATACCATAATCAATAAAAAATAAAAATATTACACTGTAAAATAATGGCTTTGGACAAAGTTGAGAAATTGTCAACTAAATGCATGTGAAGGGCATTCCAACACTGACATTTATGGCCACTAGTTGCTTTGCAAATCTTCACTGAGACCTCAAACCAGCTACAAAAGCTAGGCCATCAAGAGACTATCAGTTACTACCGTAGGTACCCGGTGCCCTGCTCCAAGCAGAATACTTTGGTAGAGGCCCGCAGACTCACTAGCTCCACCTTCTGGTCTCTCAAGTGTGTTGACTTCGCAGTGGAAGACAAAAAGGCCCCCTGCTGTTTGAGCTTCCCATGTGGAGCCAGAGGCAGGCTTTCTGGTGTCCGTGGTGTCTGGCCCCAAACAGCTTGGTGAGGCTGGGAGTGTCAAAACTGGAGGCAGTAGGAATAGTAAATAAGAACCAGGGTTCTTGCCCTAGCCAGTTTTGCTCAGTGGGTAGAGTGGCGGCCTGCGGATCTGAAGGGTCACGGATCTGAAGGGTCCCAGGTTGATTCCTGTCGGTACAAACGGATTGCGGGCTCGATCCCCAGTAGGGGGCGTGCAGGAGGTAGCCGATCAATGATTCTCATCATTGATGTTTCTCTTCCTCTCTGAAATCAATAGAAATATATTTAATAAATAGCCCTACCCAGATAACCCAAGGCGGAGTGGCTCAGTTTGGAGCATTGTCCCATCCAACAGGATGGAGGTTCCATTCGGTCAGGGCACATATCTGGGCTGCAGGAGGCATGTCGATGTTTCTCCTTCCTCTCTCTCTCTCAAAACTAAAATTAAAGGGGGGGGGGCAATGTTAAAATATGTACACAGATAATTTCATTTAAAAATTTTAAAAATTAAAAATAATTTTTTTTCAGGAATAGTATATGCACAGCCCTGGTTGCTACTGCTCAGTTGTTTGGAGCCTGTCCTGCACACAGAAAGTCATGAGTTTGATGCCCAGTAAGGGCATGTATCTAGATTGCTGGTTCAGTCCCCAGTTAGGATGCCTGGGGGAGTAAGCCAATCGATGTTTCTCTCTCTCCTCTCTAAATCAATAAACATGTCAAAAGAAGAAGAAGAAGAAGGAGGAGGAGGAAGAGGAGAAGGAGGAGGAGGAGGAGGAGGAGGAGGAGGAGGAGGAGGAGGAGGAGGAGAAAGAAAAAGAATAGCACACATACAGAAGTGTGCAGAAAATAGAAATGTATTTGTCAGAAGGTGAATACCTGGGTAAAACACTCAAGTTATTGTCAAGCAGAATCCCCCCCCCCCGCAACGGGGCAATCTCCCCACTATTTCTGTGATGGGCTGTGCCAAGCACTTTACATACTTAGGTTTGTCACCTAAGCAAGCACCCTA